AAGACTACTCTTGTATTATTAAAGGCTTTTTTCCCAATTTATTTCTAGTTAATCTAGCCACATAGAAGTCATGAAGTTATGCTGCAATTGCAATTCAACAATAAATTCATTTAGGTACTATTTAGGCATGAACCTTGTACATACCATTTCCAGTGTAAAAAGACAACTTCTTGCAAGAACCTGCATGATTAACACCAACTACTGGCATCCTGTGGTAACAGGGCAAAAAGTACTGTTGCCTCAGCAGGCCAAGGGATAGTTGGAAGAATATTTTTAGATTCTGATTATATATGTATTAAAAAAAATGAAAGACAAATTCCTTCTTCAACAATTCTGTAGAGATGCCAGCTCTGGAGCTTTATATTTCTCCTATTTCCCAAGCCAATGCCACAAACTTCCTTCCAGCTCTCCCATGACAGGGTGTAACTGAGGCATACCAGCTTGCAGATTATTCCAGGTGACATGCTCCTGAAACAACCTCATCTCTATGCATTTTCCACACGAGAAACTGCATTCTGCACAAGCGTAGCTTCTCCTTGATGCTGGAGGAAGACATGATTTACACTCCTGCTGGATTACTGCCTGTGTAGCTGAGAACCATGTAGCCTAGCTCCTGTGATTTCAGGAAGCCAGTAGGTTGCATCTTATGGTTGCTGACTTGCACAGATGAGCCCCACAAAGGCAGAGACTGGGTAATCCCCAGCACGACTATTTTGGGACTCAGTCAACACAAAAACAGCAAAATTCTTTCAGCCAAAGGGAACAGAAGCAAGTGATCTGACTTTCTCACCACATGAGTGAGTGCCTGCAGCTCCCCAGACAAACTGAGCTTTCATTGCACTCTCCACATGACCTGCCAGATGAAGTGGCTGATTTCTGAGTCACTCGGCTTCCTAGAAGCCACGCTGGCACATCTCTTTGTTTAAGAAAACTCGTTTCATAAATGAACACTATCATGAAGACCAAACAATGCTGAAGACATCATTCGCTCCAAAGCTTTTGCAAGCTTTTAAAGAGATAGAGTCACCTTTAAAATACAGGCAATAGAAACATTAACCCTTTCCTATACTGCCTCTACCCAACACCTCCTGCTTCCTTTGGCTTTCTAGGACCATGTTCTTTCTTTCTAATTTGTGACAACTAAGGCAAATATCCAGGAACACACAATAATGGACCAATGACTGTCAAGAGCAGAAAATAAATAGAAATCGTTTCTTTACTCTTTCAGTTCCATCTTAAAACAAGGAAAATATGGAAAGAACAGAAGGTCTCAAATAAGTCTGCCTCCCATTTGACTAAGTCTATGTCAGCAAAGAACCTGATTGATTCCTTTGGGAGGTGAGGCCAAGCACAAGGGGAAAAAATGGAGAAAGAGTAGAAAATACAGTGAAGTATTTTTTACTGATCTCTTTAAATAAGAAAAATGGAAAACCTCCACCATCTATGGACTAAGAAAACGTCATGGCAGATGAACAACTTAAGTGGTACTGGAACAAAACCAGACACATAGAGTTAACAGCAAGGCAAGTACACGCATGCTTGTAACAGAGTGTATCGGCTTCATGAAGAAACTTCAGGTTCTACCTAGACTAAAGTCAACACAAAAATTTCCTACCATAGCAGTTCCATGTGCAACAGCACCTAAAAGTCCTCACCACTGTGAGAAATGTGCTTATTCATTCAGATTAAAAAAAACACCAAAAACCTGTATATAATTCTGTATGTCTAGCTTAAATTGATTGGAAACAGGCAACCAATGCACGGATGTTATGAGGTACCAAACTTATCTGCAAGTCCATCATCTTTCTTTCTGGCAAGAGTCCCAGCTTCCACAGCGTGGCCTGTTGGCGTGATAGATGATGGGGTTACAATGCACCGAGTCTCCTATTACATGGATGTACTAGATGTACAGTGCTGGGGTATGTTTAAGGGCAAACACTTATGTGGCTTCGAAAAAGGTGTTGGAAGCAATCACATGCTAGACCACAGAGTTCTCTCTCTTATATTGGGCACTCCAGTTGCTGGATTCAATTCCAGTGCATCAGTCAAGGGGAGAACCATTGCCTCATTTAGCAGCCATCCCATTTCTGAAAGGGCTAATGAATTAAAGAATTTCCTGAAAGCCACCCCAAACTTCTTACAGTCCAATTAAGATATCACTAAGTTACAATGAAGAGATAACAGCTGTTCTAGAAGCTACAGCTGAACATTAGCAGTGAGGTTTGTACAAAGGATATACACACAGGGAGAAATGGAAATAACTGCCAGCTATGTGAAGTCTCTAAATCAGCAGAACACCAAAGAAGGAACAGAGGGAGGCAAGAGCAATACACCTGGGCAAAGCAGGGGTCTGGTATGGAAAGACAAGGGGACAGGCACAACTGGAGAAGAGCTTCTTGTCTGGGAATAGAATGGACTTCTTCCTGAAGGGGAAAGAAAAAATGGTTTACTCAAGCAGCTGTCAATGGTGCTGTAAAGGAAATTCAGATAGCCTCTTTGGGGACAGCAGCTTCAGTCCAATGAAGAGAACAGAAAACTATCAGGAACTAAAAAGAATCAGAAAGAAGAGTGCTCACCCATCCATTGTAAAGGCAAAGAAAAGACAGAGGGCAGCCCTGGCGTCTGAATGAAGAGTCAGTGGGGACAGAAGGGATGTCAAAAGCAATTGCAAGGCTGGCAAGGGATGCTTATCATAAGCCTGCAAAAGTGAAAATAACAAAGAGGAAGAAAGATGGGTACCGGGCTTAGAATAAGGAGGGAAATGAAAAAGTGAAGTGAAATTTCTCACAGTATCAGAGGTTACAGCAAGGTTTTATATAATCCATGTCAACAAGCAGCAGCACTGCTGATAGCTTCTGAGGGAAGGTATCTGCACATCTATCCAGTGCTTCTTCTGACTTCCCTTTATTTAAAAGTCCTCAGCATTGTGCAAGCATAAATACAGTTACAGCTTTCCTGGCCTTGCCCTTCTTATATCCTCTTTTCACTAAGATCACTTACTTTCCTTCTAACAAAACTGCCATGCTTGCTCAACTGCCAGTTCTGCGAGTCCTTTGGAGTGAGGAACGCTCTGGTTTACTGGTAGCAATAGCATTTATTACAAGATCTTATTAAAAGGAAACGTAGATAAAGAAGTTGAAAGGTCTCAATAGCTGAAAAGAACTCCACATTTGGGTAAACTGAACAATTAACCCCACACCGAATCAGCTGCTCCCAAATAGACAGGGTATGACCAAGCAACAAAGCCCATAGAAGGAGCAAACTAATTAATAGCAGACACTGAGAGAAGCTTATTTGAGACCAACATCAATACTTCTGAAGAGCTGAAAACTAAATCAATAGTAATTTTGTTCTGCAGTTTTGTTAATCCAGCAAAAACTGTTCCTATAATTCTCTGTGAAATGAAGTCCCATGCCATAGCACTAGCTACTAGCAGCCAGCGGCTGGAATATCGTCAAGATTTCACAGCGCCCTGTAGCCAGTTCTGGCAGGGGCAACAGCTAAGTATGTGCATACACCTCAGTGCCAGCCCAGGGCAAGTGGAGTCTTGGAGAGACTTTCCCATGTTTGCTGGCAAATCTTCTGTCAGCAGCATTAGAAGTTACAGAGGTGGCTCTCTTTCCCTCAGAAGCACGAGCCATTGTGCCTCCAGCACCAATCTGTCTCCTGGGACAAACTATTTTACAGTGATAACCATCCCACTGCAGGGTCGCTACTGCGAAAGGAGAACTGGGGATCATGATGTGTTTTCTTTAACGATGGCAATCCTGGCTCACTCGGACAGTCTAAACTCAAGAATTTGCTGTCTCTGGGAGACACTGAAAAAGAAATTGATTTTACCAATCTTAATTCATGTGTGACACAACGTCACAGCAAATAAAGGAGAGTTTACTTCTGCTCATTCTTAATTTCAGAGCTGTTTCTGATTGTAACCTCATCTTTAAAAGAACATCAACTATTTCACATAGTACAAGAACAGCACCAAAGTGTAGGCGCCAGAATGGGGCAGGCAGCTCTCACTTCTCACATCCACCCGACCGAGGCCTCAGTGACTGCCGTGTGAGTCAGTGCACGCAGATGGATCCTCCGTCAAGTTGACAAGTAAACGCCATTTAATGTCTGTATCCCCCTCCGAAGGACAAGGCCCTCACCAACCCGTCCCGCCGCTCTCGTCCCATCCCCAGGCGCGTTACATCGCCACCAGCGAGTGGCCTTGCGGCAGGAGCACGGAACGCTCCGCGGCTCTCACTCGTGGCACCGGCTCACAGCCTCGAGCGCGACAGCAGAAGAGGCAGAAACTTTGACTTCTGCCCTTGAACCCCCGAGCTCGGGCTCGGGCTCCGGCCATACTGCCTCCTCCTCCCGCCGCCCGGCCCGCACAACAGAACGCAGCGCCCGACCCCCCTCGCCCGTCCCGGCCTTTCCCCTGCACTCACCGCGGCGCGGACGGCGCGAAGGGGAGGAGCGGATCGGCGCTGCCCCCGCCCCGGCCCGCGGGGAAGCAGCTCCCGCCCCACGCGCGGTCTCCCCTCCCGGGCGGAAAGCGGCTCCTCCCCGCGTGGCCGTGGCCGAAGGCCTATTTCCTTCGTGAGCCTGCTCTCCTCCCCACAGCTGGCCGAAGGCGTCTTCCTCGCAAAGCCCGCCATTCCTCCTCCCCTGAGGCACAGCCCTTCCCCGTCCTGCACGGGCTCACACCGCTTTCCTCAGCAGGAGCCATCAAGCACCCACCATCAGTTCCCTCCGCTGGGGCAGCCAGGTGATTATTTTCCATTTTTTTCTTGCTAAAACACTCACTTAAAAGTGCCCAAGGAGCCCGTTAAAGGTAAAGCAAAGAAAGCGATTGTGGCATTAAGGTGCCGGGCCGTTTGTTTTTTGCCCTCTATACTGCAAATTGCATCCATGAGAAGTACAAAGAGCCAAAGAAAATTTCAGTTATGCTTCCACATCACCCACTTTATAGCTTAAATAAGTTCCCAAAGAACACATTGCACAGGCACGGGGGGGTTTGATAACTGCATTTTTATGTACTCAGGTTCAGACCAGGCAACGCTAATACAAAAAAGTACCATGTTTTACAGCATCTGTGGTGCCCGGCTTTAGGAACAGCCCTCATGTTGTACGTGACATCAGGACAGCAACTACATGCATCCCTGGCAGAAGTCCACAGGAGTGAAAAAATACACAGAGAAGACATGGTAAATTTGCTACTTTTTCATTTTTTCCATCTAAGCTGCCACACAGTGACACTGATTATATCTTATGGCACAGAAGAGAAGCCGATGTTCAGTAGCTTCACATCATACAGGTTGCCAGTTTTCCTTTGTCATCCTCAGACAAGGGGCTGCCATGTACCATGGACTGTAAAGTACTGTAGAAGTACTGTAAACCTTACAAGTGCCACCAGTTTTGCAGGAGATTGTCAATGCTGTGAGAAAAAGGCAACGTCTGTTCACCTATGGTTTAATAAACAATGCTACGACACAGATGCACTAGGATTAATTCACAGGAGATTTGGTCTGAAGTACAGTGAAATCTGCAAATCCTAGATAAAAACCAAGACAGTTAGAGAAGTAGTTAAAAAGCACAGAATTATCCAAAAATGATTATTTAGAATCTGTTGGTTGTACCTAAGTAATTCAGCTATGCTGATTAGAAAAGGGGAGGCAGTTATACTTCGAGTAAGATCCTTTGCTGAATGCCGTTTTCAAGCCTGAGTCCCCTTTCAGGTTAACACTTTAAAACATGGAAATAGTTAAAAATATTTCTCTTTTGTTAATTAATATAAATGGAAACAGTAACACCACAGTTTCAGATAGGTTGGGCTTAAGCCTTTGTGAGAACACAGAAAAAAGTTCAGTATGGCTTTAGAGTGCAGAGTAGACTGGACTCTAACAAATCTTTGAAAATCTTGACAATTGTGTATACATTTGTGAACAAAGGGCCTGATCCTGCAGCCCTTATTCCTCAGAGAGTAACTGAGCTGCAAATAGCTAGCAAAATGGGCCTTTTCTTTTAATGGTCTGTAAAGAGGACAGAAAGCACAAATTTGCGTGCAGAGCTGTATAAGAATTACAGAAAGCTAATTCACCGATCTGCATGTACTTAAGCTATAAATACAAAGTGAAGAAGTTGTCAGTGTCAGTGTGTCTCCAGACTGCAAATTATGTCTAATAGTTTACTGTAGATATACAGCAAGCTCCTCTTCTCTTGATAAATAAAGAAACCGTTGGTCAGCACAGTGAGGAGAAGGATCTAACTCAAGGTGAATGGCCAAGCAAGCACAGAATTATTCTATGCAAAATTTACTTTGTTTGCTTTAATAGTAGCTTCAATTTCTTCTAGGATCGGCACCGGTCCTGCATAGTTATTAGTTTCAATAGCTTCTAATTTCTTCTGATACTCAATTGGCAAGCCATTCTGTTTTGCACCCATGCAGATAACCTACAGATTAAAAGGAAAGGAAAAAAAGACTTCAATAGTAATGTTAATAAAAACAGATCCCTCCAAACATTTGCTGAAACAGAAAGAACCACTTAAAGCAACATGAGAAAACCAGGGAGTACCAAAGCTACCTAAGATTTTGAAATGCTACCAACATGCTCAAGAGTCCACAATTAAGTTTTTCATTCAGTTATTCAGATCAAATCCAAAGCACAACAGTGAATGCCTAGATAGGCTACAGGATTAACAGAAATTGATATTTGGTTTAGTGAAAACAGATTCCTTTGTTTGTTTGTTACTGCAGCTTTCCTTCTACACTAAAAAAAAAAAAAGAAAAAAAAAGAAAACCTGAACTTTCAGTTCAAGAGAAACTTGGTGACTGTGAGAGGAAAAGAGAAGGATGTAGGAGCCCAGGCTTGAAGGACTCACTAGCAAGCTGTCAAATAGGAGTGAAAGAGATAAATGCACAGACTTTAGAAACTGACAGTATTGCAAATATTCATTCATGCATTGAACAGCCAGGATACCCAAGGATGAAGTGCCTAGAAGTGATTAATTTACCACAAGAAGTACACAACAACATATGGATGCAAATGCAGTCACCTTTATAAATTTCTAGCCTTCTTACCTGGTTACTTTAGTTTAAACAAATAAATCAGGCTGAGGTGGGAGGAGGGGGGGGTGGGGTGGTAGAGAACAACCTACCCTGATAACAGCAGGAAGGAATATTTAACTGGATAAAGTTGCCAAAATTGGAAGTCTGCTCTTACAGCATACTAGGGAGAGCTCAGGTGCAGGAACAGACTCAGTGAATCGATTCCTTGAAAAGCCCTGAAGATCTGTTTTGACAGGAAGCAGGAGGGGAAGGGGGAAGTTTGTGAAATAACAAAGCCTGCTTTCTACGCAAGCTTTCTCTTAAGAAATCCTGCAGCAGCAAAGCAGGTCTTTGCTGTGCTCCCAGAAGATGATTTGAGGGAGTCACTTCCTTAGTTCAGATAGGAAAGTGAGCTATAACAGACTTGAGCCCAGTTTCTTTGCTTTTGGTTGAAAACAGAAAACATAAACAAAAAAACAATGCTACAGTGGTGTCTATTTGCAGTTGCTAACAACTGCAGAATTCCAGACATGCAGTCGTGCCACTTGAGGCTAGGTCCTCATCAGATCTCGCAAGCTAAGCAGGTCAAGCCTGCTGTGTGACTGAATCATGTCTCTCTACACTCAGCGAGTTCCAGAACAGTGTTGAAACACTTTTGCCTCACCAGCCACCAAGTGAGAACCCTGCAGTGCCCTACGGTGGTGGTGGAAACCTGTGATCTACTCAGGATGCAACTGGTAAAATGAGGCAGGTGAACCTATGTACTAGAAGATAGCTAGACTACAAGCCAGGTACTGTGTTCACCCCATGGAAGTTTCCTCTGTCCTAGAACTATGCTCCACTGAAGTGGAATATTTTAATTTTTTAGTTCCAAACAGAAAATTGGAAATAAATGGCATCTTTCGGAAATCCATGTGTCAGTCTCACTAATTCATGAGTTAAATAGAGGCTTCATGCAAAGCAGAACTAAAGCAGACAATAAAACTGATTTAGTACATCTTTATGATGTTCTGCAAGCACCATTACACTAGTACATTGCACAAGGATTAAGTTGTTCCTTAACGTTAGAATTACTCATGCCTTTCATCCACTGTCAATAAAGTACTTATTAAACAGGACACAAGTGCTGCATTATATATTTCTGTTCACTCTCTCCAGATGCAATACCCACCTTTTTATACTGGGGAGAGGGAGGACCACAAACGTAGTCCTTCATCTGGTAGCTTCGACAGGTCAGAACCTTTCCTTCTTCAGCATGGACATTAACTTCTATTGGGACATAAATGCCATCTTCAACTCCCTCTTGCCTAAAAACGACATATATTCCTTTCATGCCTAATAATCAATGTGGAGTAACATCTTTCAAACTGTGCAATTAAACCTATACATTTAGCATAATAATTCAGAACACTGATCTGCGCAGTTATCTAACTTAAAGAAATAAAGCAAAACATAATACAGTACTTTTGTGCAAATTACTTTCATTACTGTGCAAGTCTGGTAATCTACAAGAGAAACTCAATCAAGATTATCAGATTACAAATAATTAGACATTTGCAAAGTTGTATCTTGCCACTGTGTTACATTTGATTAAGAAGAAACTGGCACAACTCTTGCAATGAACGTTCCAAAGTGAATAATCCAAGACAACCTTTAATTTGTGCAAGACTTGTACAGTAACAAACAGTTAATTCAGGACATATATATATATATAGATAGATAGATATAGATATAGTTTTTCTAACTAGTAAAATCATGCTGCCTTAGGAAATTAAAAGCAAGTACAAAACCAGAGCTACCTTTTGATTTTAACCTTTAGCATTTAGCTACCAATGGATGTCTGAATACAGAGTTCAAGAAGAGTTAGGACAGTGCTTTCAGGTTTAATTTTTTGGTAGTCCTATATGGAGCCAGAAGCTAGATTTGATGATCCTTGTGGGTTTATTCCAACTCAGGATATTCACAGGTTCTACTATCATTACAAAAGGCAAGAATACATCCTATTTTCATCCATTTCCAGTTCACATTCTTGGAACCAGTGAGGTAGCTAGGAAAAACTTAATGCCTTTTTGGTGAAGTTATAGCACTTAAGTCTCTAGCATCTTAGCTAATATTAAAGGATATTCTTTCTCTAAAAAAAGTCAGGAATCTGCAATTCCATCCCTAGCCTACGGGGAACCAGGTAGATAAGAAAGCAGGGACTTGTGAAGCTCCCTCCAGCCAGGAGCATGCTACCTAGATGCCTTCTCTGGGACTAGCACTCCCAAACAGGACATGAGAGTGCTGACTGTGCCCCTTCTCATTATCAGTCAATAGTTTGTTATCTTCCAGCTTCACTGTAGGCAATGAAAAGCAAGTTGGAGCTTCAAATTTCATAGCCAAGATTATAAGAACATACCTATGTAGCACAGTGCAGTCACAACGAAGGTTGCTATAGTACCAGAAGCAGGAGAACTATGTTAGCCGAATGCTTTTACCTAGCTTAATATGCCTTGCTTCTTTATCCTCACTAGCCCACTGCTACAGTTATATGACAGTAACGAACTGCTTTGAACAAAGGATCCTCTTGCACCAGAAGTGAAGTCCTTCCTTGGGCCCTGCAGGAAGTTTTGCTACTCCTTCATCTGTTTACCCAGATGGTCTTCCAGACTCTCTAACCTGAGTACAGGTTGGGAACAACTTGCTCAGACTGCCTTTGTCTTAATTACTGAATACAGGCAGAACATTCTCCTCCACCATGCACCATGCACTGTGATGGTGCACAGAACCTCTCCCTTTTAAAGGGAGAAACAATACTGCCCCAGCTCCCTGCCTGGATCTTCCTTAAGGACAAAGTTTAGAGGCATTTATGGAACAGAATATTCTGAGGAAAGGAGTTTAAAAAAAAAGAAGTGTAACCTGCCCAATGTATCAGCTCCAAATCAACATCCATACTTTACTAAAATATCCCTAACGTAGTTTTTACTTGAAAACAAAGCTATTTTAATCTCAAATACTTTAAAAGCATACAATGCAAAAAAAATAAACACATACAATGGAGTGATATGCACATATTAAAATCCAAAGCATCTTCTTGATTGCAGCAAAAGCTTCCACACTGCTTGTCACAGAAAGTTACCTATTACTTTTGAATTGCTCTCTAAAGTAATAGAAGACAGTGAAGTTAAGTCACCTACTTATCCAGTGAACTTATATTGCTAGCGTTCAATTTCCACACTATTCCCCACACTTCGTCTCCAGGGCTCTGAACAATGGTAGCTGTACCTCCATGCCAGACAGAACTTGTCCTGCCTTGATGATGGCCAAAAGTGAGCTTAAAATCCTGCAAATGAAACCAATGCAGACAATGAATTTCTACTTTGCTTAAGATAGGGGCTGTGATCTGTTCTTGATGCAATAGGGGCAGCTGAAGCACAGCCTGCAAGAAGCCATCTGGAGCTATGGGAAGAAGAAGTGATAGTCCCAAAGGCAGGGTCTCAAAGGGGCAGAAGTCAGCCTTTTCCATCTCTGCAGGATGAAAAGGGACAAAGGGGAGAGAGGTCTGCCAGAAAACACTGCCGGCAGAAGTCGCATTTGCAGACACCTAACTACTAACCAAACATTTCTAGTGCTGTAAGAAAAGAGGTAATAATGAAGCTTCCAAGACACAGAGCTTTGGGCCTTTTCCTCATTCTGTAACAGAGGTGCCCAGGCATAAGATACCATTTGTGTATTTTCTCATGTTTTATGCTGTTTCATCGCTCAGTTGGAACATTCCTGGGTATTTTTATGTCGAGACACATGTCTGCTTGACCAAGCCTTACTCACAGAATGGATTGGGTTGGAAGGGATCTTAAATGCCAGCTGTCTCCAACCCCATGCAAGTACTGCAAGTCAAAATATTGCTTCAGAAACCAAGTGCTTTTTTTCTTACAGCTAATACCGAATGTTGCCATAGAGGCAAAATAGAACAACTTGTTCTTGCATTTTCCCAGGGTCATTTCACACCTGATCTCACAGAGGTCAGAGTTTCATTCCGACTTGTTAGACAATGCGTAGCCCTTTCCTAGCAGGAAAGAAGAGAGCTTTAAGGAAGACTTCCTGAGCAATAAGAAAATAAAACAAAGTGGCAAAGACAAAAAAAATTAAAAAAAAATTCGAAACAGCAACACAACCAAAAAAAAAAAACTTATGCAGCCGCCCAGCTTTACTTGTACGTATCAGGGCTCTGATCAGCGCTGCTGTGCTGTAAGGACCCTGGACAAGGCCCCGCAGGCAGGGAAGCACGCAGCTGAAGCCGGCTGCTGCTCGCAGGGCAGCCTCGGGGTTGCGCTCCCGAAGAGCCGCTCCGCGCTCACAAACCGCTCCCCCCGCCGCCCGCCCCGCACGCACCTGCAGGCGGCCCCGGGCGCAGAGCGCCGCCGAAGGGTTGCGCAGCAGCAGCCGCTCTCGCAGCAGATTGCTGCCGTAAGCGAAGTACAGCACGCGATCCTCGCCCGCCTCCATCGCCCCGCTCTCGGCCCGGCCCCACGCGCCCCTCCTGCGGCGCCCGCCCCGCGCCGGCTGCCTGGGCGGCTCTTCCCCTCAGCGCCGCCCGCCATTGGCTGGCAGCCCTCGCGCCGCCGTGCTTCGCGCCGAGAGGTAGTGACGTGCCGGCGGTCCGGAAGGCCGACGGTGAGCTGGGCTGCGTCTGCACGGGGTGGCCGGCAGGGGAGGGATGCGATTCTCTGGTCTGCCCTCGTGGGGTCCCATCTGGAGTACTGCGTCCAGGTCTGGGGCCTCGGCACAAGAAGGATGCAGAGCTGTTGGAGCGTGTCCAGAGGAGGGCAGCAAAGATGATGAGAGGGCTGGAGCACCTCTCTTGTGAAGAAAGGCTGAGGGAGCGGGGGTTGTGCAGTCTGGGGAAGAGAGGGCTGTGAGGAGACTCCACTGCAGCCTTCAGTACTTGAAGGGAGCTTGTAAGCAAGAGAGAGTGACTTTTTACACAGGCAGGCAGTGATGGGACAAGCTAAGTTTCCCAACACAGGAAATTTAGGTTAGATGTTAATAATTCTTCACTCAGAGGGCAGTGAGGCCCTGGCACAGCTGCCCAGAGAGGCTGTGGTGCCCCATCCCTGGAGGCACTCAAGGCAGGGTTGGATGGGGCCCTGGGCAGCTGAGCTGTTGGGTGGCAGCCCTGCCCATGGCTGGGGGTTGGGCCTGGGTGGGTCCCTTCCAACCCAAACCATTCTGTGATTCTATGAAAATATAATTGGTAGAGCCCAGCTGTTCACTTAAGCCCACAGGCAATGGTGTCACTATGGCTGCAAAATATAATTTAAAAGAGGGAGTGTTAACTGTTAATCTCACTGACAGCACAGCAGGTTTTCCAGACTGGTCAAAACACACAAAGGACTGTGCTAATTAGGAATTAGCCCCTGAATTCCCTGTATCTTCTCTCCATGACACCAGGATGTGGCACAGCTCAGGATATAACTGAGCAGGAGAAAAGGATGGTACTTGGTCTGAAGGAACAGATTTGCAAGCCTTCCTGCTGCTGTACATCCAATGATGGCAGTGTGAACACAACAAAAAACTGCGTGTTTCCCATTGGGGAGTAAAAAAAAAAGAAAAAAAGGGTGGAAGGAACTCTCGTAATTTGAGCAGAAACCTGCAGAGTTTTGGTGGTAGTACCAGATTTTACGCTACTGCTCACCCAAGACTTCATGCAGGGCAGACTGTTAAAAAAGACCCTGCTTTTTGAAGTTAAATTAGTGTCAGAGACACTGACACAAGCCCTGTGCTAATCTATCTGCTGCCCCAAGGCACTGTTTCCCCTTGCTGTAAAAGCAAACCCCGCGCACAGCAAGCAGTCAGGAGCATGTCTCATATTTGGGAGGCTCCCAAGGATTGGGTGCAGAAGAGAGTTCTGGATGCCCACTGGTGTTCTACATTGTCCATGGAGGAGATCAGGAGGGTTATTTGTACAAAAGTAGGATTTTATTCCCATCAGATTTTTATCCCTAAGCAGAATTTACTCCTGAGTCCCCTCATATCCTACTTAGGATTTTAGGGACCTGAAAAAAGTGTTAGGCAGTGGGATAAGTGAAACCTGCTGAAATATGTGGCAGTCCTTCAGTGTGCCTGCCTGCCTCCTGGCTGTCACAGCGTGAGCCTTAATTAATACTCAAAAAGTAAGAACTTGGAGGAATAATAAGGGCATCTGATGCAAATGAACCACTTGTGCAGTCCTCCCCACAGTTTTCCTCTCCTCCTCCCCCAGGAGCCCTGGCAGGATGTGCTCTGCAATTAGAATATCAGTGAAATGGTCCCTATTTGCTGCAAGGCAGTTATTATGGCTGTGATAGCTTCTTGATATGATGTGCAAGGTCTGGGGGGCTGCCAAGATTTTATGTTCATGCGAATGAATGCAAATGATTTTACAATCATTTTGTAAATGTTGTGGTGTTGCTGTGCTTGTTCCTTCCCTATAAAATAGAGACCATAAAATCCTGTGAGCACAGCCTCCTGTCCTGCACAATAGAGCAGCCTGGGGCTCCTGACAGCTCTGACCAGGGGGAGTATCCGTCATTCATTGTGCAGTTCTGTTTTCACATTTCTGCAAATAACACATGTGATCATTTAGGGGAAATGAACTGTTACAGTGCCTGTGTCTGTGCATGCTTCCACCTGCCTTGTCTCGGCTGTGGCCAGAGCCAAAGCAAGCTTGGGGCCCATGCTGAGCAGCGCAGAGCTCTCCCTGGCTGCTACACGCTCAGTGTGGTTCTGAGGTATCTGCAGGTCTGCACCATTCAGCGTGGGGAGCAAGCAAAGAGGGAGGGCCGTGAGGCTTATTCCTATATGGGGAAGAGGAGGGTGTGCATCTCCTGGAACCTGGGTTTGTGCATGTAGACCATGATGAGTTTCTTGAGTTCCTTCAGACTCTTGTAGAGGCAAAACATATGGGAGCTATTAAAAACAAACAAACAAAAAAAAGCTAAGAAGATAATGTGCTTGAAATCTGGAGATGTGAAAATGGGGAGACTGCTTTTGCAAACAGATCCCAGTGTGTGCAGTCATGGCATGCAGCTAATTTAGTCATTTTGACTTGTGCACACATTCTGCTCCGTTCAGTACTGCAGGTACTTGCAGGTGTGTGACTTCAGCAACTGGTTTAAAGACCTTGCCAAAAATTACATCAGCTTTCACATGACCTAGTTCTGTACTTCTTCTTTTGTGCTTTCCTGTCTGTAAGCACTTCTGTGCTGTTAACCTTCAGCCTGCAGAAGACATTGTGTGGCTCCAGCCCCTTTGTGGGGTCATGTCTTGTAGCCACATGCTTTCCACAAAGCAGTATCATGGTGCTTCTTAAGCTATGAAGACAGTTATGTCCTGGTGGAAGGCATCCCTTTGAGCAGGACAGGAGAAAATGCCTTCTGGAGGGAAGGGTGCTAACACTGCTTTGCTTTCTTTATAAGATACATCATGAATTGTCACATTTGTGACATCTTGGGTATAAAAGGCAGAGAAGCCATCCACAGGCTGCACCTGCAGATCTTCATTAAAATTGATGGCTCACAGAAAGTTGCCCAACAGGTGAATTTCTCCTTCTGAGTGCAGTTATGGTACTCAGGACCATGAGCCTGGCACACAGGAAAACCAGCCATTGAGAGCTTTGTTTTGGTAATCGCTGTATAATGGCTTCATCCATGCTCTCATCATTTCTTTGCTGAACAGCAGCTATGGAGAGCTGGATTTTGTTTCATACAGTCCTTGATGCTCTAGTCTGTTTTACTGTGTAAGTGCAGTGACTATGCTACTGTTACACACATCCTTTGGTGCTCATCCCAGCCACTTCTGGGCAGTTCCTGCCACACCTGCAGGAATCTACCAATCTCGATGTCTCCATCTTGTGTGAGTTGTAGAAAAGGAGCAGTGGGGCAAAAAATAGATCTCAAACAGGTGAAGGCGGATCTAAGGGGATAACCTCTCAGTCTCCAATTTGTAATGAGCCATACAATAATCACTGGGCAGCAAGATATGAATCCAAAGCTCAGATGTCTGAGATTCAGTGCTTTGTGTGGGCTTGTTCCTCAGACAGAGCTCTTCTGCATCAGAACTTCTTGCCAGATGAGTGTCATTGATGTGAGGAGCACTCGTGGCATAAATTCAGTCCCAGATCACATCTATTATTTACAGGGTTTGCAGAGTGCAGGGACTTACAGAAGTCCCGTCCCAATGAGGCATAGAATGGCTGATAAACAGGAGAATAACAACATTTTCTTCCATGACACATGTGGCCCTAAGCATCTCTAGGGATGCACATTTGGTAGCTGCTTGAAATAGGCTTATTTCATCTCTGCCCTCATAGGAAGCCCCGATTCATTTTTATTTTTCCAAGCAGTCAGGAAAAAAAATCTTTTCAGTAAGACAGGGCAGGTCCTCATTCCTTCCTTACGACTCACAGGAGAATTGCGATGTAGGGAGGGAGGATCATCTGTGCAGCTGATGTTTTGTGGGAATGTCAGTTGGTGCTGCTTGTGCTGGAAAACAGTGAGGTACATGAATAATTGCAGGTAGCAGTTGTCACTGATCGGGCCAGTCAGGACTGCGTTATACAAAGTGCTCCTCTGACGTTTCACTGCATTCAATTGGGAAGAAAAAGAAAAGAAAGAAAAAAGTTTTTTATGAGTGCTAAGGGCATCTGACCACCAGGTGCCACTCTTGCTCCACAGGGAATACGAGCGACTGTAAGACCAGGCGTGGTTTGCAGGAAAAGCCAGAACAGGCAGACATCACTGTTTTTGTCCCTGTCTGGATTGGACTGAACAAAGAGATTTAGTACTTGCTTTAAGCACAATAGTTACCCCTTCAGTTTTGGCCGTGGAATTCAAGCTGAAGGTTTCTGCTCTGTAACCAATCAAAGCTTCTCAAAAGCTGGTGCTGGGTGACCAATGCATAAGGCTGGAGTTGAGACTGTACTTCAGTATGATATGCACACGGTCTGAAAATTGGGTCATTTAAAGCAGCCTTAGCTCCATCACGCTGTGGCAGAGGTGGCTGAATCCTGTGGATAGCACTGCAAATGCAGGCTATCCATATTGCCATGGCTGGGGAGGCTGCATGGTTGGACGCACAGAAATTTCTGAGCTGTAACTTCTCTGCTTGCAGTTTGTTTCATGGATGCTCACCATATGTGAGCTGTCTGCCACAGCTTTCTGTCCTGTACAAAGCTGCAGGAAGTAATATTTGAAGTGATCATATCAACACTTATAAATACCTACAGTACAGGAATCAAGTGGATGGGACCAGGCTCTCTTTGGTAGTCCCCAGTGACAGGACAAGGGGAAACAAGCAAAAACTGCAACACAGGAAGTTTCATATGAACACGAGGAAGAACTTCTTTACTGTGAGTGTGATGCAGCACTGGAACAGGCTGTGCAGAGAGCTAGCAGAATCTCCTTCTCTGGAGATATTCAAGATGTACCTGGGCACCTTCCTGTGTGATCTTCTATATGGAAATTGCTTCAGCAAGAGGTTTGTGATCTCCAGAGGTCCCTT